GGAAAGAAACGGGGCGAGAAAAGCTGGGTTTCCCTATAACGTCTGTCGACCTCCCGCCCTCCGAAAAGCGTGCTCGGAAGCCAGCTGAGCTGCACTTGGCCGTTGTTTCGGGGCCGTTGCTCTCCGTTGTGATTTACACGCGCGTGTGGGCACTCGCACCTCTCCCGTCGTACCCAGCCTCCTCCCCTGCCCAAAACGCCAGGTACCTGGCTGCACCGGCAGCGTTGCCACTGGCCTCTGGTGCAAACCTCTGGCTGCTCTGGTCTGGCTTTGTCCCTGCCAGGGCCTGCTGTCACCCACGGACCCACTGCCACCCGTGTCCCTTGCCGGGGTGGCAAGCGTCCCGAGAACATCGCTGCATTTAGGGTGGGAAGCTGGAGGCGTTGGTGTGTCTGAAAGTAACCTGTGCTGGTGGAATGGTGACAAAGGAAATCATCCGGTCAGTTTTCTTGCCCCAGTTGTATGAAGCTTAAAGCTCTAATTTTGAGGTCTTACGTAGATTTAACGTGTGGCTGATCACAGCCTTAGTTCCACCAGCTGTGTTTTAGGCACTAGATGGTTAGTTAGGTAAAAGCTTAAAATCCATAATGCAGAAGGAGGCTGTGATCGGTTCTTTACAAGAAAAAGAACTTGTGATATAGTTTGTGCTGTAATACTTTCCTTGTTGTTCCTTGCAGGATACAAGCAAAATAATGAAATCGAACTTCAACCGCTCATTCAAAGTGGAATGTGGTTTTGAGTATATCTCTCTTCACACTGGGTTTGCACCGTTGAAGTCTGCCATGGAGGAAATGGGATTGGAAGAATCCTGCCCCTTGAATTATGAGGAAAGCTTTTTTAAAAGCTGTGCCGAAGAGCATCAGAAAATGCTGCATAGTGAGTCATACCATGCGGCCACCAGAAATCTAGAGCTTGAGGATGAGGGAAGACCTGTACATAACAAAGAAAACAAACAAGTAGCCCAGCGACGTGATGAAGGCATCTATGAAATGGAGTCACTGGAAAACAGTAAATTTAATGAGGACAGTGGCTATTCCTCTATGTTAAGTAATCAATATGCTGATGTAATGGAACATGAGGACAGTATACCTTTGGCTGGGAATCTCTGTGGCACACCAAACCATTGCCTCACGAAGAACCAAAACCCAGCACAGTTTTCAAAGAAGACCTTGTTGCCAGTGATCCATTATGAAGAAATGATTTGCTCAACTTTGAAAAGAAGCGGGAAAAGAAATCTCAAGTCTTGGGCTGCAGTAGACAGAATTGTTTTCAGGGGAGAGGCTGAACTTTGTAACCTAATTGGAAAGAAAATGGGATTAGACAGAATAGACATTCTTGCCGAACTCTTCCAAAAGAACATGAAGCATATATTAGCAAATATTTTAAGGCATCTCTGTGAGATGGATTTAATAAAGTAAGTATATTGATCTTATTGTACTTTATTGGGAAAGTAAACAACCCAGTCAGCTGGCTTAAGAATGTTTTAGATACGGGGCTTGTGACATTTACTCGACGGTTAGTATTGTCTATTAATATTTCAAAACATGAACTGTCCGTGTAAGCCATGATGTATGTAGAGAATCTGTCTTTTCCCTAGAAGGCAAATTAAAGACTACAAATGTGACCGTATCCCATCTTCTAAAATAAAGAAAAAAATCACATAGTTATTCCCACTACTAGACAGATTTTCCCTTTCCGAGGAGGTAACTGATATGTTTGTATTGTCGTTGCAGTTTTGCCAAAGTCAGCACAACATGGCAGAAGATTCTACAAGACGATAAATGGATTTCCCAAATGTACAGTAAAGCTGTGAAAAACCTTTCTGTGAGTTTCCATGCCTTATAGATATTTCAAGCCTAAGCCAGCAGTGTCCTTCAGCTATTTCAGGACTCCTCCCAGCCTTAAAAGGTCACAGAAGAGTTTCTTAAATTGAAGGCACTTGCTGGAGTGTCTGAGTTTGTCCTCTTAGGATGTCCTGTCTCAAGTATTGCTAGTCACTTCACTGTCTTTGGAGCCCAAGGAAGGTTGACCGAGAAGGTCACCAGAGGAGAGATGCAGCTGTCCTTAAGAGATTCCACATGTGCTGTCTGAGAGAGGAAGGCAGGAAGGAGAGGGTCAGTTCCAGCGACGCCTGCTGGGCGAGCCCTGGAGGCTCTGGGCAGAGGCTGGCTTCAGCGTCCCGCTGATCCAGAAGGGTGAGAGCCTGAGAGCAACTGCTCGACTGGCCGTGCTGCTCGGGTTCTCTGCTTGTACTTTCTAGCAACAGTCTCAAGTGCAACAAGTTGGCTACAGAAAACTGAAAAGCTTTTTGCTCTGTGAGCGACTCCTGATGCCTCTTTATTCTATGAAACAGAAAATACAAGATTCAACCGCACTAACATTGACGTTTACTGAGGCAGGACTCTTTTAAAACACTAGAGGTGGTTTTCTTCCTTGAGAGACGCTGAAATGGGGCTTAGGATCTGCCACAGGATAAGGCAGTCAGCTAGTTTGACTTTTGTGTAGTCTTTTATGGTGCTAGCCTGTTGGGATGAAACACTGCTGAACGTTCATCCCATAAAGTCTGATTTCCTCCCTGCCGTTGTATGTTTGTTTTAACCTGAACTGCAGACTTAGAAAATTGATGGGAGGAGTTTACTTCTCAGAAAGAGAACGTCAAGTATCCCTCTTCACTGTAAAGAATTCAAAATACTGCATTGTGCTTTAAAACATTGCCCTGACTAGGTTACATGGTCTGCCTAAATAATTATGATGTGTTAACATGAAAGGAAGTTGCATTATGTAATAGAAGAGGGTTGGTTTTGATGGTCTGAACTAGGGATCTGTTCTACGTGTTTTTAACAGTAGTGACTGAGAAAGCTAAGGTAAAAATCAGTAGCATACTACTTGATATGAGGCTTTATTATTGGAAATTTTCTAGCCAGGAGAAAGGATCAAAAATAAGTTGATGACTTTAGTAAACAAAAAATCAGTATCAGGTAAGTCTTTCCTCAAATTTTATTCTTGTTTTTCTTTTCATTAGAATGGCATGAAGGCATCAGAGCATGCTGAAACAAGGGAGTATGTTCTCTGCCGAGCAGCTTTAGCTTCCATTCAGAAAGCAGCCCCACCAAACAACTTGAATAAAAAAGTCACCAAATCCAAACCATCTAGGAATCACAGCCGGCTCATGGAGTATTCAGAGGTAACTAGTGATTTCAATTCATCTTTGTTTCTCACATGTTGTCTGCCTCGGTCAGCTTGTAAAGCATATTTCTGAAAGTAGTGTCTCCAATTTGAAGTTCTTGTAACTCTTATTAGTATGGCTGCCAGATTTTGTTTATTGAGCCTATTTTAAGACGGTGTAAGAAACTAAGTGGAGAATATTGATACACCGGGATGATCAAAGTTTAGGATTATTTTTTTCCCCCCCTTGGTGTATAAGTACCCTTAAAATGGCTTACTGATTTTTTTTAACTACACATTTGTAGTTAATGTCATACATTTGGAGTTGTTAACAACCGCCAACAGCCTCAGTTTCCCTTCATCTTGTTGTTTTTCTTACGCTTTTTTCCCCCCACACGTGTAGGTGCAAGTCTACGTTGCAAATGTCTTTTGTGACTTTTAAAAACATTTATTGAAAGTCATTATTCATTAATAAGCAACAGGTCTGCCTAACTAGAAAAAGGTTTTATACTCAAGCTCAAAAGGCTAATTGTGAAAACTGGTGCAATAAGAGAAGAAGATATAATCGCACTGGAAAGTATGATGAAGCTGCTCTAATACTACTGTATAGCACTTCGTAGCATTAAGAAGCTGAAAGTTCAGCTGTACACAAAGTAACAGCCTAAAACTTTTTCCTTGATAAACATATATATGTCTATTTAGATTATAAAAACATTTTGCTTTTAACAACTGTGTGGTAAAAGGTGTCGTACAGGTCTATAATTTTTTGATGCTGAATTATTTTGAATGGTGGATCTGTTTTTGTGTCGAAGATGAATTCACAGGAGGGAAGTAGGAATTGCTTCCATTTGGTGTCTCAAGTTGAGTGCCCCACAGCTGAGATTTCTGGACACATTGCTCACTTTCAAAAAATGTTAATGATTTAAATGGAATTCAGAATTATTTTCTCTTTTTTCGTTAAAGTTAACTAAATCACAACCTTGCCTGAGGTTTGGAGGATTCAGGAGGCATGTCTTTCTTACTGCTTTGCATTTAGTCTGTCTGTCCTTTAAATTTACAATTTAAGGAATTTTAAATTGGCTACCTCTATTTCATTTCTCAGTATCTGGAGTTATAGACTGATTATTCCTGTTCAATCTCCATCAGAATTTGATACAACCAGAATTAGGCTAAATTTGCAATTTATCTCCCTACAGTAGGAGAAGTTATAGTGTGTTTTGTGGCACTTAGATAGCGTCAAGGAACATTTGGGGTGTGTATTTACTCTCCACTCACGATTTTCTTTACATGCTTTTCCCAACAGGCTGCTAAGACCTTGAAAAACACTGAAAGCCTGAAAGTCTGCCATTGGTGTGGCTCACCTGCGAAGTACGACTCCTATCTCCAGAGAGCAATGTGCAGTCGTGAAAGCTGTGGCTTTGACTTTTGCACAAAGTGCATGTGCAGCTACCATAGCTCCAGTGACTGTATGAGCGGCAGACCAGTGAAACGCAACCCTAACCTAGAGCCACTTCCTGGCACTAAGAAAAGCAAACTGAATCTGCGGCGATTGTGATCCATCCATCCCAATGCAGATTGTCAGATGTCCTCTGAAAGTTTTTTTTTTTTTTTTTTTTAGATACGAAGTTATACACAAAGAAAATCAAACAAGAAAATGCTTTCTGTTGTTCTACTTAAAAAAAAAAAAGGTTAATTTTATTATTCTTCTGTACTATTTGGTTGTGACGAAATTCCTAGGAATCATCACAAGTATCCATTTTTAAAAGTCTTATTAATCTCTGAATTTAAAAGAAAATTCTGGGTATGGATTCTAATAACATTTTAAATATTGTCCTGACAATTTATTTCTTGTGTCCAGTCTTCAAAACACCCCACAATAATGTTGAACAAACAAAAGAAAGTTTTGGCAAGTAGCCTTCCGTGTGCAAGCCTAGAAACTCTTTGAGTGCTAGAAGGGGGAAAGGTAAACTATATTTTATTTATATGTTTACTCTTGTTCGAAAGTGTTTGAAAAGCATTTATAGTGAGAATGTCAAGTGAGGGGAGAGAAGTCCCTTTTAACATAATTTTATGAGGGATTCTAGATTTTATGACTTTTTTCCTCAAGGCTTTGCCTTAATTTTAAAATGTGAAAGCTCATAATACCATTTTCTCTGATGGTTTACCTTATGTGAATCTTAAATTGTTGCTCTTTCTTCATGTCTTCATTCAGAAATTGCAGTATTTCCTTGAACTGAGGTGATACCCTGTCCAATTTTTTTAAAAAACGTACTGTATCTTGGCTATACTGCTAAAAAAACTTATCATGTTTTTTCAAAGAAGATTAATTTTTAATATTTGTATATATTTGTAAATACTTCTGTAAATATTATTCATGTTTGTCTTGTAAATGTGAAAATAAATTACTGTTCTCAACTTGATTGACAAATCTGGACTTCCTGTTTGTCTTAAGATTACTTTTCATGCTCATTTCTCGTGTTTTCTAGTATGTGCTTCTTAAAAATGTTGATTTAGCAAGGAACAAATCTGGTTTTGTGCAAAGCGTGCTGAATTCATTTTATGTTGCATTCCAAACATTCCTGCAGTTTACCTAAGAGCTCTCAGCAGTAATTGCCAGTAGCTTCTGAACCAATGCATTCAATGGCAAATTCAGCATTTATTGGCTGAATTTATTCTTCTGTTGCAGAACTGGCTCACTGTCAGCAAAGTCCTTGTGATTACACAGAAAAGAAAGGCAAGCATTTGAGAAAGACTGATCATTTGCTGGAATTGTCTGGGTTTTGAGTGGGTTTTTTTCCAGTTAGTAAGTAGATAACAGACTGGAAAGGCAGCTTTGTAGGTTCTGCTCCTTGAGCTGGGACAGCAGTTACATACTGCATGCCAACTTCTCTTGCACTTGTTATTTTTCCAGTTGTGAACAGTTGAGCAGGGCCTCCAGCGTTATGCATTTATGTGGTGAACTTAATCTACTAACCTAAACATAGCACTTAAGAGCCTTTCTGAGTTACATCAAGAGCTTTCCATTCCATAAATCTTTTGGCTATTCCAGTCCACTTATGTGTATCACAGAATCATAGAATATGAACTTAATCTACTAACCTAAACATAGCACTTAAGAGCCTTTCTGAGTTACATCAAGAGCTTTCCATTCCATAAATCTTTTGGCTATTCCAGTCCACTTATGTGTATCACAGAATCATAGAATGGCAGGGGTTGGAAGGGACCTCTGTGGGTCATCTAGTCCAACCCTCCTGCCAAAGCAGGGTCACCTACAG